ACATCTGTTTCACCGCTTTGCCTTCATGGGCTTAAACCTGCCAAATTATTCCATTTGATTTCAGAGAATTCTCATATGGCAATCTATTTTATTTACTTTATCTTCAATAAAATGGTTCAGTGAGCATTAGCAACTCTGAGACACAAGTTTCAATCAGTCTTGAGGCAAAGGCGTCAATCTATATTAGACCTACTGTGCTGTGAGTCGCAGCTAGAAAGTTGGATAAGGCAGAGCAACAGCGAACATGAGAGCCAGACCTAATAAAGCCACGGTGAAGAGAGAAAGGTCTCCCCAGGCTCTCCCATGCATCACTTATACAATGCCAGGTGCTGGGTTCAACACATGAAGAGCTCCTTAATAAGGCTGACAGCTCCAAGAAGGCTTCAGCCTCCAACTTTATTTTACATGACACCTAGAGTAATAGTCCTCTGTTCTCCAGCAGACAATAGTAAAAACTGGAATTGCCAATAGTTAAAAATGAGGGTTTTTTATTCACCCCACAGATATAATACAGGGGGAAAAAAACTAAAAAAAAAAAAAAAATCAAGCTGCAACACATTTCTTCTACAACATTTTCACACAATTACTAACGTAACAATAGTTTCAGTGGACCTTCCCTTACAAATCTGTATGACATTTTAAATATAGCTGCTGGATCAGATTTTAGCCACAAAACAATCAGTAGGTTTGAGCAACAACTCATTTTGGAAAATGATATCATTAAAGACTAATTCCAAGAAATGTGGGGCAGGACCAAGAGATGCCGTGAAAATGTCTCCCAAAGCACAAACTTTGTAATAAGTGATGCTGGTTCATATCTGATATGGGCTGTAAAAAGCAGATTATTGTAATGGTATTCTTCCCAGCAAATAAGATCATTAAAAATGTACTTAATGTTCAGTTGAATTGAAAAGCAAGCCAGTTAAAATCCATATTTTGCTGTTGTGCATAATGGTATCAGAAACTTTACTGGCGGATCACTCCAAACCACAAACTTAAAATTATAAATATAAACTCTCTGTTTTCGATAGAAATAAGTTTCCACCTTTTTAAAATATAATGCTCTTTTTCTGCCCAGGTTCTATGATCACAGTAAAATCAGTAAGAGTGAAATTTGGAATGACAGTTTAATACGAATTTATTTTAAAAATGTTCTAATATTTGCAGATATACACTTCTCAACCCATTTTTCTGGAGACTAAATGTATTATATTTCTAGAGAATTCAACATTGCAAAGCAAAACACCCAAATATGTGTTCATATATCTAGATGCTTCCATATACTTCTGCCCTTTACAATACTATAAGAACACTGAAGAAGAAGAATAGAAAACTAGTATGATAGGTTAGTAGAATAGATTCTGCAAACTCAGATTCTTTAAGAGTATTTTAACTAATCCAAACAGCTATTCTACAAAAGAACCAGTACCAGACCAGCATCCAGACCTACCGAATGCCAAGAAAGCCCAGTTCCCCAACACTGATGTGATCAACAGGCAAGAGATTAAAAGGGGCCTCTGCATATTAGAAAAATCAGTATTTCGGGTGGAATCTAAACATTTCATATTTTCTTCTTACCTGGCTCACTATCTTACAAATATACATGCTTATCAAATTACATTTACTCTGAAGACCATATATTCAGTACAATATTAATCCTTACATTCCCCACAAAGCCAAGGACAGTGATGAAATTTGTAGAAAGGTATGATACCATGCAGGAAAAGTCCTGGGCAGCTGAAAAGGAGGAGAGGAACAGGACAATTACAATGGAAGTGGCAGAGATGTAAACATGCTTTAAAGAGATAGATAAAGGGAAAAAACAATAGGATGTGAATTGACCAAAAAAGTGGGCAAGTGTAAGGCCAGCGATTCAAGGCATCTATATCAGAATAATGGAGAGAAAAGGTTAGTATTTGGGTTTTGGCAGATTCTGGAGAGTATAAAATACCAGGGGTAGGCTGCATTTAGCCTTGGGTTAGCCGGCATGAAAAAGTTTTTTTTAATGTTTGCTATGCACTTTGTATGAATGTATACATGTAATCCCCAGGCCTATTCTGTGAAGGAGTACTATTATCTCTATATCCTAGATTCAGAAATTAAGGGTTAAAGAGTTTAAATGGTTTGTCCAAGGTTTCACATACAGTAAGTTTGTCCTGGACCCATGATTCAAATCTACACAATGTGACTTCCAAGCCTCCATTCTCAAATATAGCCTATATATCTGCAATTTTGTTCACTCTATTTTTTGCTAAGGAATGTCAGCATGCCATGAGTAGGAATCGCTGACCCAGACCTTCGTCAGCCAAATCAGCTCCCTTTTTGGTCCATTTACTACTTTTCAATAACTTAAAAATTTGAGCAAATAAATTGTGATGTATGATGCTTAATTTTTAGCAAGTATTTATGAAGCTTATAGCAATTTCTCTAAGTGTGAGAATAAAGTTTATTTCTAATACACTGAAGTAACTAAAACTTACATCTTAATTGCATTTAATAGTCTTATGATGGAAACTCTGAAAATAATTGTGACTATGATGATGTAAGACACACACATATACACCCGCATTCAGCCAACTACCCACTGACCCATACACACAATGGGTCTCAGTTGTAAGTTATATGAAACAATATTTTAGTTACCATTTTAGAAGTAGAGGCTAGGGTAAGTTATTTAACCTCTCTGGGAGATAATGGGGATAATGCTAAACAAATTGCTTAAAAGAGGAAGATCAAACAAGTATGCTCTTTAGGGATTTGGGGGGAGGGGAAGGAACACAACAACTAAAGGCAACTGAAGGAAAAAAACAAGTATTTCTTGAAAATAGCTATGTGTTATGTGCTAATTTTTTTTTACAATAATCCAACAAACTGTTATTTCTGTCCTGCTTTTACAGTTTGAAAACTGATATGCAACAATTTAAGGAAATTAATCAAAGTTGATTAAAAATGCTAGCATATGGCCAGAGGGATGCAAAGCCCTATCTACCTGACTTCCCAATCCTTGCCTCTCCATCATTCCACTCTTCTCTTGTCATAATGCCTCCAGCTCTAGGGTTCATAATTCTATATATTCCCAAGGGGGAAAAAAAAACCCAACACTTTTTCAGAATGTATTTTTTCATTAAGATGAACCACTGCCATTTTGCATATGCATTATTTCCACCAATATGTGGCTGGTCTTCATTTAAAAATATAAAAACTACTAAAAGTATATGCCTAGAAAAAGTCTAATTAGCAAGTTCCAGAAGCAGTTTTGAGAACTAACTTAAAACACAATTATGTTTCCCTTCTGGGAAAAAGACTCTATTTTCCAAAAATCATTTCTTTCATGGTTCCATGATGTTCCTTGTCAGGTAACTCCCATTTATATGTCTTAAATCTGCCTACTATTATTAAAACAAATGTCCTATTACTCAAAAAATGAGGATTTAAATATTAAAAGGTCTTACATGGATGGAATATATCAACAAAGCCATTGTTTATAGTAAGCATAAATTACTTAACCCAGAAAAAAAAGAAAGATTGGGCCTTAGTAGATATTCTATTATTACCTAATTGTTTATTATTTATTATTAACTGTAAAACTATAACAAGCTATATTCATTTTCCCAAATCATTTAAATTTTTTGTGTTTTAGTATTTCCACTTACTAAACAAAGGATAATAAGGTCATCCTTATGTCATAAGCAATGCAAGAGTAAAATTAATGAGTTTAGTGAAAGAGTAAAATGAATAAAAATTTGCTAAAGTGCTTTAAAAATCTTAAACCCTAAATAAATGCATAATCATTTTCTTTCTATATCTGGCAAAATAATAAAGTTGGTACAAAACAAGAAGTCCACAGGCAAAACGCCTGAGAAATATTTGGCTATATAATTCAAGCACACTGAAAAAATAACTCTTAGGTAAGATAAGGAACCGCTTTCTGGAGAAAGTTTTAGAAATGGGTAGAGCAATACAGGCAGAACAATGAGGATCCTGAGACCTGTCCCACATTTTATGTGAACCCCTTTGATAAAGAATTCTGGGGTGGGGTAGAAAAGAAATAAAAAGTAATTCAGAAGAAACCAGATACCATGTTTCCCTTCTCTTTGAGGCTAAGTCTAGGATGAGAAATGATATGATATAAACTTCTCACTTAAAATTTCTTTTAGTTTTCTTCTAGATTTTTACAGATTTGGCCAGCTATAACATACTGCTTAATTGACCCCATAGTTTAGTGGTGACACTGAAAAAATTACTTTATAGAAATATTATATATTGCATAAGAGTGGGAAATAAATCTACATCTCTTAGAAATGCATCTCATGTCAGGTCTGTGTCCCTTGCTTTATACCAAACAACGGATTTAACATTCTCTAAATTGACACCGGAAACATCAAGGAAAACTCCCATTAGATTTAAAGAAGTACACATTAAAAACAAAGAAACAAACAAAAACAAATGCTTTCTAAACAGCTGACATGCTGGATCTCAAAAAGTTTTTAAGAAAAAAATCAAAGTTTCCAAAAAAAATCATTACCAGTACATTATTCTATTTATTTTTTGGCATTTCTAGACTCCCCAAAAAACCTCAATAGCAACTCAATCTTAATAAAGTAATACTGAAAACATCAGTATATAAAAAAAAAAAAACCCACATAATGATAACCAAAAATAATCCAAGAGCTTTTCTTTACTAATCATTTCCTTTCAATATTTCAAAACCAAATTCATCTTCTGCATAAACTCATAATAATTAATAAAAAATAAAAAGAAGAAACCAAGTTTAATAGGAAGGGAAAGCACAGCAAGGAGTGAAATGGCAACAGCAAGAGAAGAGACAATGGTAAATATTTCCATAGTCATACTTGACAAGTCTCTGTAGTTCCCTGATAACTTTTTTTTAACATTTAGGCAAAGACACCTAACCAAAAAATTAAAGAATAAAATAAACACTAGAAAAACAGACAAAAGCACAATGAACCAAAAAGAATTATTATGAGAAGGCCACTTACGAATTTCTCCCAGATCTTCCACAAGACTTTTGAGTCAACCTTGATACGGAGTCCTAGGTAAACTCAATCCCAGCATCACATTAGAAAAGTCCTGTTAATAGAAAAAAATAACTGTCACTGCTTTAAAAATTAATTTTATGTCACAATTAGTTCAATGACTTCATAGGACATAAAACATACTCAACCTCAAATAAAGATAATTGTTAATGTATTCATTGCTTTGGAACTCTTCAAATGTATATGAAAATGCTTTTCTACATTTTAATTTTGAAAAGTTCAAATCCATTGTTTGGACCAAAGCAAGGACCTCGGAGACAGCATGAGATGCATTTCTAATAGATGCAGATTTTATTTCCACTCTTACATTTATTTGGCAGGTTTAAACTTTCGGTGATTAAATTTTATAATTCATAGAATGCAATTATTTATGTCTCAAGATTCCCAACTGAAAACATGACTGATTTCAATTGCCTCTTCAACACATACTTAATGAGTTTTGTAGGCCTTTCCACAATTAACAAATTGGTAGTAAGCATTTTCTCCTTATAATTGCAATGTAAGGGTTATTACCTTAATAGTTATTTGAATGAGTATTTCCTAGACCCATTTCCTACTTAACGACTCTCTTTTCTAGTCTCCTTCTTTAATCTGAAAGATTTAGCTCATACCTTTCTTAGGCTAAAATAAGTGTTCTTAAGGATGAACAAAATTACAGAATTTAAGATTGACACACCAACTTGATGGATTGGTATGGACCACATGGAAAGCTGTATGGAGATTAAATCTGAGTCTAGCAGGAAGGAGTCCTGTACTCTATTAGCAATGTCTTCCACAGGCATTGAAAAGGATGGATGACATCGTATACCATTTAGACATTTCACTAATTATTTAAATTGTTCCCAAACACTTCTGGCTAAAAATCCTTTCTTCCAATGAAATCTTAGTGATGGGTCAACTAATTACACAGATAGAAACAAAGTATTCTGATTGAATCAGAACTCCCAACACTCAATACCACCCCTGTCCTTTTCCCAGGTACCTTGGGGGTATTCTACAAAGTCTTAATTATTCTGCAAAGCATAGCCTGAAACCATTGTTTTAGTTATCAAAGTAACTCAAAGTCACAAAGATTAAGGTAATTCAAATGCCTTTTCTTCATATTCTAACAGTCTTTCTATATTGCTTCTGTTGTTCATTTTTCTCTTAATGATAAAATTTTGCACATGAGCAGGCTCCCCTCTTGATTTTCCTTGTGTTAATCTTTCTTTCATAATAATTTTTTGCCTGCTATATGCCACAAAAAACCCCCCAGATTTCTTATTAATAGGCAGCAATCTAAATTATTTCCTAATTCTATATTGGCTTATTTTCTCCTTCCCACTTTCACAGATATCAAATTTTCTTAAGTCAATCTATAAATTCTAGATTTTTAAAGAAAATCCACAAATGCATTTTAAAAGTATATGCTATAGGGGCGCCTGGGTGGCTCAGTGGGTTAAAGCCTCTGCCTTGGGCTCAGGTCATGGTCCAGGGGTCCTGGGATGAAGCCCCACATTGGGCTCTCTGCTCAGTGGGGAGCCTGCTTCCCTTCCTCTCTCTCTACCTGCTTCTCTGCCTACTTGTGATCTCTGTCTGTCAAATAAATAAATAAAATCTTTAAAAAAAAAGTATATGCCAGAGCTCAAAGTAAATTTCAAAAATAAAAGACAAAGAGAAGGAATCCATTCTACCAATTATCAGGTTTATTGCCAAAGCCAGATGCAGACAAGGAAATGGAGTTTGGAAACAAAACCACATATCAATGGGAGTTTTATATATAGTAAGGGTAATACCACAAAGTTAAATAAAAGGTTGGTGCTGAGTTGTGTAGACAAAGGAAAACCAGCTCAGAACATAGCAAAAAATAAACTTGGCTCCTTATTTTATACCACATACGAATTTGGATTCCCATGAGATTAAAGAGTTTTAAATATGAAAGCTATCCTTTCAAAGCTAATAGAAAAACTTAGGTGACTATTTTTGACACCAAAAATTAAAAAATAATTCTGAAATAAGACTTAGGATAGTATAATTTAAGAAATTTAAAAAAAAAAAAAAGACAGACCTAGAATAGTATGGCATAAACCTGATAGATTTGGCCAAACCAAATGAGAATTTTTCAATAAATGATACCATAGCTAAATTTTATAAATAAATAGGGAAGACTTAAAACCAATAAGGAATTAATATTAAAATATATACTCAGATGAAACTAATAAAAAAATGAGCAAAACCCCCGAACAGGCAGTTTCTCAGAGGGGGAAGCCAGAACAGCTATCAAATATAGTTTAAAATGTTCAAAATCATTAGTTATGAGGAAGACACAAGTTAAAAAAACAAACAATGAGATATCACTTCATGCCATCAGAAGAGCACACATTTGAATGCCGGATTCTACACTGTATTGGCAAGAATACAGAAAAATGAGCACCCTCTTGCTTACTGGTAATGGAAGCATAAATAATAGTTATTCTTAAAAGTAATTTGGGAGACCTAAAATACTTGCCTGTTCTGTATGGACTCAAAACCTCCTATGCAGATACCAACTATAGAATATGTTAGCTTAGATTTTATTCACTTTTTTATTTGCACATTTTTCTCTCCCACTAGCTTCTCCATTTTCACTATTCATTTGAAATGAATTCATTATTCATTATATCAATTTGAAAAATTGATAAATCAAGAAATAGCAATAAATGTATCATTTGCAATTATGGATATATAAAATAAATTGTGGATATGAATACCAGAAACTTGTTACTTCTGTATAGCTGGACTGGGTAACAGGAAGATATAAGGGAAAAGAATGCTATTTTTCATTATAATAAGCCTTCTGTTTCATTTTATTTTTTAGCTGTGTGCAGGTATTTCTTTGATAAAAGTCAGAATTAAATACAAAAGCTAAAGAAGCTAATTTTAAAAGTAAACAAAGAAGATATCACCACAATAATACACAGCTGCATTTTCTTAAAATAAAACTTCATTTTATTTAGATAAGCATTAATTTATCATTATTAAATATTATTTGTTATTTAAATAAGTATTATTTTAGTAACTTAAAGCTCAAGAAAGAAAACATAAAATATGTCATAGATTACAGATCACAGATCTCACTTAATTTAAAAAACAGCAACAACGACTTATGCCAGTAAAGGACAAGGCAAAACCAGAGCTAAAGAGGCTAATCAGAATTTTCTTGCATACACACATTCACACACGTTGATTGGCTGACCAGGCTCTAACATAAAGCCACAACCCTGCTCTCATATAGAGTGTGTAGTATAATGAGGAATATGTAATGAATAGTTATTACAGTATATTGAGCAACATGGTGTGTGTGTGTGTATGTGTGTGTGTATATATATACATATATGTATATATATACATATATATAGGCAGCACTTAATTTAAGTCAAAGAAGACTTTCTGGATAAAAGGATCCCTATGTGATTCACATTTACACATTTCTTCTAGCCTTTTAAAGCACATTATGAATTTGTTTGTTGTAGTAGGAGAGGAGATCATCACTCCTATATTCACAAAGGGTTTGAACTGTTTTCTTTAAGAACTGTATTCGATGAAGAGAACAATTACCAGGTGGTTTAGTTTTGTTGTATTTATTTTTTCTAAGAACTCGCTGATACTCAAGAAAGATTTAGTGTTCTAATGTGTCACGTGGAACTCTTTGTTAATATTTTCTACCCTTCTGTCTTTTAATTAACAAAAAGGAAGATAGGTCCTAAAAGAAATACTATCATTTCATTGTTTTTTAACCAAAAAAGGAAAAAATTACATTGTACAAAGCTTAAGTGTAAAATAAGTATCTTTTGAATGCTATAACAACATAGCATAATACAAAATCGTTAGTCTAGAGAATCCCACACTTTGGAAGAATATACTAAAAATATATGAAGTAAATAAAATACATTTTTATGTAGGTCATAATGTATAAACTGATGCTCAAAAGTAAAAACCGCGCTAACATTTTCAGTAGTTTTCATACTCTACAGCACAGGTCTTCTTGGAGAATGGAGAGAACTAAGAATTACTTTATTATCTAGAAATAAGTTGGTTAACTCTGGCCAGATAAGAGTAAGCAAATAATTGTTCATCGGTTACAAAGGCTTGATAGTAGAACCAACACATCAGTGAGAATAATTCAACAACAAAACTTCAGCAAAACAACAATTGCCTAAATTCAATTCCAGATGCTGGGTAATGGGGATGTATGCTAGCAGGATACAAGAAACAACCACGGGCTTCTGTGGAACAAGGGAAGTTATTTTTCAGAAGGCAAATAGTCCATATGCTATATGAACAGTTATTTTATTCCCAATATGAAGGGCTCAGAAGGCATTTTCCAGCAGGCATTTACACGAGAGGAATATATTATTATCATTTGTACAGATGTTACAAATATCAAGAAAGGAAACAGTTTAGAGTTTTAAAAAGCTGGCTCTGCAAAGGTTAAATGCTGTGAAACTACATCCAGAGATACATGGTGCTCACTACAATTAGCAACCTGGCTCTGGTTAAAAGTGTGAAGTCTGCAAGGGCAGGGAAGCTTGTCTATTCAATTCACTTTTGAGTCCAATAAACTTAACCTACTTCCTTGCGCATAGTAGGCAGTCAATAAATATTTGCTAAATGAATGTATTCGTTCATTGACTAATCAACATGGAACTCGACAGGCATGGGAATCTAAAACTGAAATTTTAGATAGGATAGACGATGGATCTAAACCAGGACAGAGATACCGCCTTTGTAATCCAGATGCAAAATCTAACTCAGTGATTTTTCACAAGAGGTTAGACATGGAAACAAAGAAGTGTCTGTTCCACTGCCTTGACTTAATGTGGCACAATATTCATTTTATTATGGAGTTAAAAATAACATTAATTGAGAACCTAGTATAGAATATCGTTTTGAAAGTTTGAAAAACGATGATTTAACCTACACCTGAAAAAAGAAGGATAGTTTTTTTGGTAGCTAATAGTTTTGGTAGCTAATACTGGAGCCATCCTGCAGTGATGATGACTGCCCACGATGCAA